CGCAGTGCCACCTTTTTATCGAGTTCAATCCAAAAAGCAAATTCACTACTTTTATAATGACCAGGAGTTAGAAGTTTATCGCCAAGCAAATCCTCGCGAAGAGCGAAAAATTGAGCGAATTAAAGGTTTGGGACAGATGGATGCTTCAGAATTATTTGAAAGCACGATGGATCCTAATCAGCGGCGTTTGTATAACATAAGCATTACCGACTGATTAGAATGTGAACGGATAATTCGGGAATTAATGGGAATGAAGAGCGATAAACGCAAGGAGTATTTAGAGAGGCGTGATTATCGCGAAGCAGAATTGACTATCAGTGAAGAACAAAAAATTAACCTAATTAACTTGCTCTTGGTTAATTTTCTCCGTTATGCTTATGCGGTGGTAGAGGACCGAGCATTACCAAACATTCATGATGGCTTAAAACCAGTTCAACGCCGAATTCTTTTCGCCCTTTATCAGTTAGGAATTACTCCGAACAAAGCTGAAGTGACTTCGGCTAATATAGTAGGTAGAACTATGTCGGATTGACACCCGCACGGGGACCAAGGTATTTACAACGCAATGGCTAACATGGTGCGGGCGGATAAGTTTCGTTATCCATTAGTTTATGGTCGAGGTAATTTTGGTTATGATAAAAATCCCCCGGCGGCGATGCGTTATACCAAGGTAAAATTAACTCCTTATGCTCTTTTCTTGTTAGAGGATATCGCTTATGGAACGGTTGACTGAAAAAACAATTATGATGATACAAAAGGCAAGGAGGAACCAGTTGTCTTGCCGGTGAGCCTCCCCAACTTATTATTAAACGGTTCTAGCGGTATTGCGGTGGGAATGACTTCGGATATTCCACCACATCATTTAGGGGGAACTTTAACCGCCACCATCAATCTAATTAATAACCCAGACTTAATTACTATTCAGAAGATTCAAAAGGAACTTTCCCGTAAAGATCAGCAAATTGCGGCAGTTAGTTCTAATATAAGAGAGGAGGCGGTGGTGATTGGTAAACAGGCCGTGGAAGAGGAACTCAGCCAACTAGTCAGCGAAAGAAAAAAAATCGAGGAAGATTTCATTCAATTAAAAAAGAAAGTCAATCAAGAATTAGTTAACGATTTACAAGGGCCTGATTTTCCCACTGGCGGCTACGTTTTAGAAAAAGAAAAATTACCTAGTATTTACGAAAAAGGGGAAGGAACTAT